TTCGAACCTGGGTCTTCTGCAAGAACAGTCAGTGCTCTTAACCGCTGAGCCATCTCTCCAGCCCCTGATTTACTTCTTAAAAGAATATACAATTTTTAGAAGAATAATATATACAATATAAATATATAATATCAATTGCACATACTAGTGGAGCTCAGGAAGTTATTTTCATGGATCCATATCACATGTTTTGATCCAATCATTCTTCACCCCCTCCCTCTCACTAGCCTCTTAGTCTCTAGTACTCTAGTCTGCTTTGAGGGCACTGCTTTAGTTTTCCTACAAGAAGAACATGCCATTCTTGTCTTTTTGTATTGGATTTGTTTGGCTTAACACCATGTTTTCTAGCTCCATCCACTTAGCAGACTTCTACTTTGTCACGGCTCAACATGACTCGTGCATTACATACCATCTTTTGTTTATCTGTTAATGGGCACTTAGGCTGATTCCTCATCTTAGCTACTGTGAAAGTGGCTAACAGCACACAGGTGTTTCTCTGGTATGCCAACTGCATTTCTTCTGGATGTCCTCTAAGGAGTGGGACAGCGCCATCAAGTGGTAGTTCACAATGCTCTCCTTAGCAGCTGGATGACTAATTTACACTGCCATGAAGAGTCTGAGGACTTCCTTTTCATCATGCCTCACTGGCACTTAACGTTTTGCTTCTCTGTGAGCACCATTCTAAGAGAAGATGATACCTCCCTGTGGTCTGGGGTTGCACTCTTCAGATGGTTAACTATATGAGCACTTATTCAAGTTTTTGCTGCTTATGTTTGCTGCTTCTTTCGAGTTTTTATTTAGATCAGTTGCTTGAGGCTCAGCCTGGCCTTGAATTTGCAAGCGTGTGTCAGCCTCTAAGTGCGGTTTTTGTTTGTTTTCCTTTGGAGACAGGGTCTCAGGCAGACCGGCCTTGGAGTACTAATCCATCTGCTTCCAGTTCCAGTGTGCGAGAATTACTGGCATGAGACATCCCACAGGCTTCTTAAGTTCTTTATATAGTCTGTATACTCAGATTTGTCAGAGGAACTGCCAAACACTTTCTCCCATTCTGTAGTGTCTTCATCATGGAGGAGAACACCACAGTGCCAAAGCATGATATAAGCAAAACGTGAAGGGCTTTTTCCTCACAGAAAGATGGTATAGAGATCTGAGGCAGGTGTATCTCTGTGAGTTTGAAGCCAGCCTGGTCTACATAGCAAGTGTCAGGTCAGCTGGGGCTACAGGGAAACTCTGTTTCAAAAAGATTAAAACAAAAAAAATGATAGAGATCTCTAAAAATCATTTTGAAGGATACTCTGCAAGTTCCTTTTAATTTCTATTTTAAAATTTCACTTTAGTTTAAACTATATGATGACGATAAAATAGTTTTCAAGCTAAAATCAAGGTATTTATCCATTCAAAGTACATTTATTGGCCTACCAATGATACACACTATAACAAACATTCCTTCAGGTGTGAACCTGCAGTTAGGTAAGATACCTGGTAGAGGGAACATAGCCCCAAAACTCCAGTTCCAGGGGAATCTGACCTCCAAGGGTATTGCATGTCAAGGGCACACTTACATGTATGCAGGCAATACATTCATACATATCAAATAAAAACAATAAAATATTTGAAACAAACTGACAAACAAAAGTTCCTGTGTTAAAAGGCAAGTTGTTATAATAGTAAGGTGTTTGAAAGTTCTATTAAGGAGAACATGAAAACTTAGAAGATGCAGCAGATTCCTCTGAATGCAGCCATGTATGCAAGATGACTCAATGGTTCAAAACTGTTGTATCTTAGATGGGAATGGTGGTGCATGTATATAATCCCAGCACTCAGGAGTAAGGACAGTCTGGAGACATAGCAAGTTCCAGTCTAGCATAGCTATACAAGAGTGTATCAACTGCCCCCAACCCCAAAAGAACAAAAAGAAAAGATTAAAATGTATATTCTAGAACCTAAGTTAAATACTTGAAAATCACTGCACTTTTTTTTTTTTTTTTTTTTTTTAAAAGGAATTTTTTTTTTTTTTTTGTTAAAGGCAGTCTCCTTATAGCCCCAGCCAGCCTGGAACCCACTGTGTAGACCAGGATGGCTTGGATCTCACAGACAACTACCTGCCTATGCTTCCTGAGGGCTAGGGATTAAAGGAGTGTGCCACCACATTCAGATCATTGCACCTTTTAAAACATCAGACTGCTTAGAGGAAGTAGAAAGCAGGACTGGGGGCCAGTGAGATGCCTCAGCTGGTAAAGTTGCTTGTCTTGCATTCCTGACCAACTGAGTTCGATCCCTGATGTGGATGCATGGGTAATCTGAGCACTCCTATGGTGAGGTGGGAGGTGAGACAGGAGAATCTCCTAGGTTGTGACCATCTAGCTTGGAGTATAAAGGGAAGCAGAAACGAGAAACCCTACCTCAGAACAAGCTGGAAGGAGAACGGACTCCAGAAAGCTGTCCTCTTACCTCCACTTGTGTGCTGTGGCATGCATATGCCTGCTCACCCTCACTGTGTTCCTGCTCTCCCCCCACCACCCCCAGGGATAAGAAACCAAAAACAACAAAAGAAAGGAAACATCCAAAGTTGGGGATATAGCTCAGTGGTACTTTCTTAATGTCTTAAGGACCTGGCTTTGATCCTCATCACCACAAAACCCGTCATCACCACCACCTCTTTTTCTGGGGCATAATGGTGCACACCTATAATCCCAATACTAAGGAGGCTAAGACAGGAGGATCATGAGTCTGAGCTTAGCTTGGTCTACACCCTATGAGATCCTGCCTCAAACACTACCACTATCTCTATGAAACAAACAACCTACCCAAACAAAAACTGTATGTGGGTACAAACCTTTTCAAAGAAAACAGTGATCTCTCATTGGAAAAAAGGTGGGGAAAGGAGTGTAAAGGCAGTATCTGAAGTGATAATGGTCATGAAACTTAAAATCAACCAAGTCTTCAATATATAAAAACACACACACACACACACACACACACACACTAAAAACACACACACACACACACACACACACACACACACACACACACACACACACACAAATTCACCGAGCCCCTACCTTCAAGAACAATTTTTTAAAAGGAATCCCTGTAATACCTAAAATCATCCTTAGTCCTGCTTAGATCTTGTGAAGAATAAAGATGTTTGTGGTTATCCTGGGGACTGTACCTCCAACATTCACTTTTCAAAGGCTTTGTAGTGCTACTCAGATCTGATTAATTTTGGATCTGACATACTGCTAGTTCTCGAAGTTTCTGTTTAATATTACCTGTGATGCACAGGTAGGGGCATGAGAAGAAATCAGTATCAACTTTATGGGTTTGTCACCTTCATCTCTGTCTTAGTCATCTACCTTCTATTTTCTACTGTAGGAAGGACTTTTACAGTACAGCAGAATCTGGACCAATAACTTTTATTTAACCTTGCACCAAAAAAGCGTCTCTATACTGTAAACAAGCTCAGTGTTCCTACTGTGACCTAGGCATAAAACCTTTATCCCTCAAGACCCGACTTTGCACTCCACTGAAGACAGTGAATGTGGGTGTGCTTATTTATAGTGTCAAAGCAGTGAAAAAGCTTGTGTAGTATCTGCTTGATACTATGTGTAGTATTTCAGGGATCAAAGGGCATGGTTCCCTGATGAGATGGGGTGAATCCACTTTCTCTGAATAAAAGTGTGAGTAAAGCTAGGCTTGAGAGCAAAGTTCCTCAGAGTATTGGTCCACTTTAGTCATGAAACACTAAGAGTCAGTGCTGTCTTTATTCACACTATAACTGCAGTGTGACTTAATAACACTGCAGTCTACATCTTTAGGTTCCCTTCTTGGGCACTCTAGAGATACCAGAGAGCCAGCAGACAAAATTGAGGGAAAGGAAAAGAGGGAGAAAGAGGAAAAAAGGGTGGAGGTACATAGAGGTAGGGGGGAGAAGAGGGCGAACAGAGCAGAAAAACGATGAGGCTGCTAGTCCATCCCTCCGGGAAGCATAGTCCCCTTTTGGCTCCTCAAGCTGTAGTAGTCACATTTAGGTTTCAAGCAGCATTTTGAGTCCAGCCTGGGGGAATACCATAGGGGCAAATACTAATTCACTGACTAGATGGTACTTTGAATTATGCCCTTCAGTGGCTTCTCTGTGGCTATGCTATTTGCTCTTCAGAGTTCTCAAATAGGTGGTCAGAGTCTGTCCAGGTTTTATGGGT